ATGATACCTATTGGAAGTCAGGCCCTGTCAGACGCTATGGTCGTTCAGTGGGTCCTGGTGCATGACAATGGCCTCATGTGGTGAGAGTATGCAAGCTGTTTCTGGAGGATGAAAGACGTGATAACACTGACTAGTCAGGCCCCTATGTTCACCAGACCTAATCCAACAGTATACCTCAGGTACTTGTAAAATGTACTACATTCAGTCCATCCAACCTTGTTAGATTGCACCTCCAACGGCTCAGGAGCTCACTGATGGCCTGGTCTTGATCTGGGAGGAGATCCCCCAGGACACTGTGCTTAATCTCATTAGGAACATGTCCTAATGTTGTTAGGCATACATACAAGCATGTGGGGGCCACACAAACTACCAAGTTTGAGTTGCTGCAAGGAAATGTCAGCAAAATGGACTAAACTGCGCACATTATTTTTTCACTCTGATTTCATTGGTTTCATTTCCAATGAATGTCCTTTCATTGCTAACACATTACCCAGTTCATATTAGTAGATTAGTAGATATCTAGCATGGTTTTTACCCCATTGGGATCCAATGTTTTCAAAGTGTTCCTTTAACTTTAAGCAGTGCATATATATACATATATAATGTGTGAGTATCTCTGTGTGTATAGTCATGAAGAAGAAAGTACATCCCCTTTCAATTTGAAGGCTTTACATAATTAGGTCATAAAAAAAAACCTTATCAGGTCTTAAAATTAGTGAAATCCATCTTAAGATGAACAACAACACAAGACGTACTGTTTCATTATTTACATTGTGCCTGTACATTGTGGTTTTGGCTGGTGGAAGTTGTTTCACTGTGCCTTCAGGTCAGGGAATGGGTTCGGTCGTTTGGCGCATAAGCACAAACAACAGTTCAGAGTACCCAGCCTTCTTGGAGTCACTGGGTGGGGTGCTTCATCTGGTGACTGAGATGTCCTACTGGGAAACTTCAATGATCAGGTCCACTAGTCCGTGATTGATTTTGTGACCCTATCATCAGATCTGGGGCTGTATGTTCTGGAAAATCAGGTGAAGTGAGGAGCTCAGCTGTCAACTGATCATCACCTGGCGGTTGGTTTAATCAGGTGGCGGCGAAGGATGCTGGACAGAATTGTGAAGGTGTGCTGAAAACACCTGCCAGAAGCCCTGGTTCATGAGATCTTCGACTCTCACCTCCAGCCTTCCGAGGGACGAAGGAATGCTGCTGGAGGTTGTTGGAGGTTGCTCAACAACCTCCATTGTTGGGCATGCTGAAAGGGGCAAGGTGGTTGGTACCTGTTATGATGGTAATCCCCAAACCAGATGGTGGGTGCTGGAGATGAAGGGAGCGATCAAGCTGAAGAAGTCCTACAGGGCTTGTGTAGCCTTAGGGACTTTGGAAGCAGCTGACAGGTACCAGCAGAGCCACACACCTTTCAGCTGTTTTTGTGCTCGGGTGATAGATGAAGCAAAATCTTATGTGTGGGAGGAGTTCAGTGAGGCCATGGAAAAAGACTGCCTCAAAGTGGTTAGGAATCCTAAATTCCTAAAGGCCCTGGGTTGTCCTGGTTGACGCATTGCATGGAAATCTGCAGATGTGCCTCTGGGGGCTTTAAGAAGGTGGGCTAGAGTGTGTACTTCAACCACAGGGGGATCACACTCCTCAGCCTCTCTGGGAAGGTCTAGTGTAGTGGAAAGTTAATTAATTAGTCAAACCTCGGTTACAGGAGGAACAGTGCTGTTTTCGTACTGGTCGTGGAACACTGGACCGGCTCTTCATCCTCCTACGGATATTTCAGAGTGAGTGGGAGTTTGCCCAGCCAGTCTACATTTCCTTTGTGAACTTACTGGTCGATCTACATCCCTACCCTCACCCATGATCATGAGCTACGGGTAGTGACTATAAGAATGAGATCACGGATATACAGTGGTGTGAAGAACTGTTTGCCCCCTTCTTGAGCTCCTATTTTTTATACGTTTTTCACATTTAGATGTTTCAGATTATCAAACTGGCAATGAGCCACAGCATCTCAGTGGAATTCAGGTCAGGACTTTCATTAAGCCACTTTGTAAGTATTAAGAGGTGGACTTGCTGGTGTATTTTGGATCATTGTCATGCTGCAGAACCCAAGTGCACTTCAGCTTGGGGACACAAACATATGTCCGGACATTCTCCTTCAGGATGTTTTGGTAGACAACAGAATTCATGGTTCCATTTACACCACAAGTCTTCCGTCCTGAGGCAGCAAAACAGTCCTGGAACATCACACTACCATCACCATATTTTACTGTTGGTATGATTTTCTTTTCTGAAATGCTGTGTTACTTTTACACCAGATCTAACGGGACACACACCTTCTAAAAAGTTAAACTTTTGTCTCATCAGTCAGTCCCCAGACTATTTTCCCAAAGGTCTTGGGTATCATCAAGATGTTTTCAGGCAAAACTGAGACAAGCCTTTATGTTCCTTTTACCAGCAGTGGATTTGTCTTGGAACTCTGCCATGAAGGCCATTTTTGCCCAGTCTCTTTCTTATGATGGAGTCATGAACACAAACTGAGGCAAATGAGGCCTACAGCTCTTTGGATGTTGTTCTGGGGTCTTTGTCACCTTTTAGATGAGTTGTTGCTGTGGTCTTGGGTTACCTTTGGTCGGCTGGTCACTCCTGAGAAGGTTTGCCACTGTTCCTTGTTTTCGCTATCTGTCGATAATGGCTCTCACTGTGGTTCGTTCAAGTCCTACAGGTTTAAGAAATGGCTTTTCCTTTTCCAGACTGAGAGATCTTAATTACTTTTTTTGTCACCTGTTCCTAAATTTCCTTGGATGGCAGCATGATATCTGGTTTTGAGGATGTTTTGGTTTACTCTACTTTGTCAGGGAGGTCTTATTTATGTGATTTCTTGATTGGAAACAGGTGTGACAGTAGTAAGGCCTGGTTTTGGCTAGAGAAATCAAATTCAGCTTTTCAACGATGCGATACACCACAGTAAATTTATGTTAGAACTAAGAGCATCTTTAGGATTAAGGGTAATTAGCAGCCAGGTGCTGCTAAGGCAGTGTAATTTATTAACTGATCATTGTCAAATATGACTACAAAAGCTGAAGTTTTGGCAGTTTGCTTGTTGGGAGATTTCATATCTGTATTAACACAGTGCCAAAGAGAAAACATCAGTGGAAACAGCGGTGACAGAGACTATTCGCAAGTGGGAAACGCTCAAAATAGTTGCCAATTTTTTAAGGAGTGGATGTTCATATAGTACAAACAAATTCAGGCACAAAAAATTCATGAATCACTGATTTCTGAATACACACTGTTGTAAATGAGGCCGAATGTTTTTAAGGCATGCAAGGCCAAACTGGAGATGTCAGTCCATAATGCACACCTGGCGAAACCAAACAGCATATCGACACAAACGCTTCATACCAACTACTATAGGCACAGTGGTGAAGGGGCAGCCACAGGACCAGCGCACCTTGCAGACATCCTCTGTATACCACCATTCTCGAGTCAAATATTTGGGAGGCCTTCTGTTCGACAGCCCAAACAGGGCCAATGCAACGAGTTAATGAGTAAGGTACATTAGCAAATCTACAAGAGAACAGCTAAAAAACAAAACTATCAAGGTTTTGCAATGGCCCAGTCAAAGTCCAGAATCCATTCTGATTGAATTGCCATGGCTGGACTTTTCTGGATATTTCTTGTCAGTTATTGCAGATCCAATAATCACACGCTGCTTCTGCATTTTGTCTTAAAGTGTGTTAAATAAATGACATCATTCAATATGCCATGTGTTGTTCATTTAATAATTTTAGAACCTGATAAGGACAATTATGATCTTTGCATTCAAAGGGGGCGTACTTTCTTTTTAACAACTATATACATGTAACCTTTTTAAAATATTATATCAGAACTGTGAGGTGAAAAAAACAAGTAAGAGAATTGAAAGGTTTGTTTACCACATGACTAAAATGAAATTAACCCTATCCCTAATTGCTGGGTGACCTGGTGAATGTTAATGGTTAAAACCCAAACTGGAAAGCTGCAGACCAAAGCAGGGAGCTGAACAATGCTTTAACACATGTTGAGCTGAAAGCAGCGGCATTGTTTGTGTTAAATTACTGATAACAGTCTGTAGGTTTATGATGACCCGTGACACCTTTCACTAGACATACAATACCTTATTTTAAAATCTTAAAGTGTGCAACTTTAATAGAGGTCTAGTCTACAATTTTATTTGGTATCTGGTTAGACATATTCAATCTATTCATTGCAGCCCTGAATGCCAGAAACAGACAGAAACTGTGGCTGAGAACACAGAGGGGAGTTGTACAATTCACAACAATTAACAACCAGCACAATACAATCTCCAGTACTGAGACACAACAATCAGCTGACATAAGTTTAACTGTAAGATTCGGGGGTGTGGGTGGCAGATGGAGGTGTGCTGTGCTGGGGGGACTACTAGTCATTTTCTAATTTTCACAATGTGCCAGACACTGTACAAATCATGAGGGGGAGCCATAGATCAGCAGGTTGTGGCAGGAAGACTGTGATTCCACCACAAAATCAAGACAAGACTTCCGCCTTGTCTTGATTTTCTTTTCTTTTAAAATGTATTTATTTATTTTTTAATTCTAAAACTCTTCATCAAAGTATCATAATGAGTTTGCTTATTGTTAAAAAGAATGACAAGATACATTTTACCTTAAAATTACAAGGGGAGTAATATTTATGTATCTTCAATACAGATCTTCTACAAAGATCAGTTACAGACCCAGAGGTATTATAAAAAGCACCAAGAAGACTTTGGTAATAACTGGCTACCTCTAGAATAGTTGAAGCAAAAAAAGTTGCTTCAAGCACTGAGCAGGTTGAGGACATCCTTAGAGGTCCACACTCAGGACCTGGACAGAACTGACACAACATGTGTGTGTGCGTGCGTGCATGTGTGTGTGTATGTGTGAGAGAGAGAGCGAGAGAGGCCAACCAACACACAAGAAAATGGCAGAAGGCATAATTACCACGCTCATGAGTGATGACTGAGGGAGGAAAGAAAGTGCAGTAAACCAAAATAAGAACAGGAAAACAGGGGGAAGAAAGAAACAGAGAAAGAAAGTAAGAAAGAAAGTAAGAAACAAAGGAAAAGATTACATATAGGGAAAAGAGCGCTTTTTTCGTCATGTGGAATAAAAAAAATATGTATTAAAAGAAAACCTAAAATATATAAAAATATACCACCAGAACCTTTTTTATTTGCTTTTGTCATCAATGATATGCATTTACAGTACTATGTAAAAGTCCTGAGGGACAAAGACAGGCAAAAACAGTTTGTACAGTGTTAATCATTTTGAAAGTCAACATTTGGTATGACTTTTAGTCTTCAACGTAGCCTGAAATCTAGCTTTCTTATCATTTCCTAATGTAGTCTTCAGAGATAGGAGCACTGTACAAGGTGAAACACTGTATAATGCACTGTCAGTAACACTAATATACATTTTTATATTTAGATGATCAAATTATAATTTTTAATGTGTTGACTACTATACTACTAATCAAACTAAGAGGAATACTGTACTTTTTTCATGGAGTTGGGAAGAGTGGCGACATATTTTTATGGTTTGAAAAGTCTTTGTAATGTTTACAAACAAGAGATGTACAAGACAAATCATCAGCACGCTTGTACATCAGAAAATCATACTTGATAATGCACGCAAACCAGCAACACTGAATTACCACCTCATTTACACAGGAAAAAACAACAAAAAACCTTTTTATTGATTATAACGAGCAATGTGAAAAATAAATGGTGGCTCTCTACAATCTTAATGTTTCTACAGTGTTGAAGGTTATTTCAGAATATTGTGTTGTTTTAAAAGCAGCTTTAAACTGACCATCTTTAGGTTAATTAAATATTTTAACTAGACCTAGATAAGTATTTTAATATTAACATTCTCTATGCTTTCAATAGGTAGAAAGTTAAGGTCGTCAAACTCCATCCCGGAAAAAGAGATGTTTCATAAATTTTGGTTTTCGTTTCTGTATTTTTTCAAAATTAGCCCAAAAGGTATAAACATGGGGAATCTTACCTGATCCTTCCTCTGTCACCATTCCCAGTCCCTCTGCTTTATTTTGCCTCTCAAATGCATTTAGATCCAGAACACTAAAACAAAGACAAATATAGTGTGAATCACTACATCCATCGCATTTCTGCTCTATTCGTGTTTTTGTCTTGCCCTTGTTTGATGAGTGTTTTCCTTTTCCGTGGATTTATCCCATATGTGCAAGTCTCTGACCAGCAGTTTTATTCCATGTTTATGTTGAATATTGGTCTCTCATGTGGTTTTCAATGTTTTTATTTCATTGTTGTCTTGAATGCCCCATTGTCCATCTCCTTTATGTGTGTATGGTCTGTACTTTTGCTCAGTCAGGCTGACATACACTCTTCCTAAATTGACATCTGGTTTATTTGAGTTGTTTGGTGGCTTTTTTTTCTCTGCTACAACTGTGCCTTTAACTACCTTCCTAGGAATACTGTCAGCAAATAGAACCAAGTAAAACTTTTGTAGCCAAAATGACAAGAACCTCAACCTATAAACAATAATAATTTACACCCTGCTAAAAGAGTTTGTACAGTTCGCCATTTCCTGAAAAACAAAAGTGCTGAGCACACAAAGTTGCCCGCTAGATCAGATTAATAACATTGCACAAAGTACAACCAAATTTTCAGAAGGTGCTGGCAAATATAACAGAAATAATGATATGAAATATAACACACAACAGTACAAGAGAACACAATAACTAGAATTTAATACAATATGAATTACTGCACTACGGTAGAGTGAAGCATGTACTTGTAATGCAAAGGTAACTACTTTTTTGCTGGGCAGTTAGTCAAGATAAGTGTTTGGCAGAGTTCAGTTCTAGTATGGTTCTGGAACAGAAGCAGTTCATAAATCTGTTTGTTCAGTTCATGATTACAGGGACCTGAATCGTCTGCCAAAGTGCAGTAACTTCAACAGGTAATGTGGAAAATGGAATCGTGTTTTCTTCTCTGCTAAGGCAGTGAGAGCTGAAAGTTTCCCCAAAGAAGCGAGTTTAGAGTACAGCTAGTTTCTGGGAAGACTTTAAGATCCTCTGAAGGGATTTTCTGTCTGCCACTGAGCTGTCAGCACATCTTACAGAGATGCAGAATGGCAATGAAGGGGGAGTTTCTCAAGAAGTGTAATCTCTGCTGTGCCTTGATAAGTGCAGTCTCTGGACCAGGAGTGATTTTCTGAAGCTTGTATACCAAGAAACTCGAAGGCAGGAACCTTTGCCACACAGTCTCCATCAATGTGTATTGGGTTATGATATTTGTTGTGCCTCCAGTAATCTATCATGAGTTCTTTGGTTTTGGTAGAGCTAAGGGTTGTTCTCTGTATCCCATCCTGGGGCTTCATCTACAAAGGCTGTCACATCTTCTTCTGAGATGTGCCAACTACAGTCTTCTCATCATCAAACTTAGCTGTGGTGTGTGGAAAATTGATAGGGATGCAGAGGGTAGAGAGGATGTAAAAGGAGGTTCAACACACAGCTTAATAATGGTGGTGTTCAATGTGACAGTGAAAGAGAAGCAGGGGCCTAATCTAACCATCTGCATGCGATTAGTCAGAAGGTCACTGATCCTGTGGTAGACAGGTGTGAAAGTTGTAAGCCAGTAGGTTTGGTGACCAGATGGACAGTAGTGAAAGCTGAATCTAAGTTTACAAAGAGTATCCTTACATATCTTCACTACTGCTCAAGATGGCATAACGCAGTATACAAGGCAGTGGAGATGTCTTGGTGCATGGAAAACTACTTTTATCACATCTCTCTTTTTTTCATATAACACAACAAAGAGTTAGACCCTCTACATGATGACAACAAATACTTGCTTCAGCCCTGAAATAGGAAATCTTATTTATACCTGCATGACTGCATGAGACCAGCCAGACTCTGAAAGAAGCCCACGTCCTTCTTGTCCTTCAGATAATCTAACATTTTCTGTTAAAGATGACACAGTGAAAGCACAATAAGATACTGGAGTTTACTCAGATTTGACAAAAAACAGTCTACATCTGTCATTAAAATAAAAATACTGGTGGTGGTACCCCTCAGCCTCCTAGTAGATACACCTACAGTATGTATTTCAAAATCGTACATCCCCTTCTTCTCAAGTTATCGGATTCGCAAGGTTTTCCAAAAACCTGATCTCTGACTTCTAACTTTGAGGTCAAGGACACTGAGATTCCAACTTGTCCGAGATTTTTACTACTCCTATGTTATCAGTGTCAAAGTCCTGGATGACTTACTTCTCCAATTATCACCTTCACAAGACTTTCAGAAAACTTGACCTCTAGCCTTGACCTTCAGGTCAAGGTCAGTGAGGTTCAGACTCGTATGAGATTTTTAGTAGATCTGCGTGGAAGGGTGGGGTCTGTAGCTCAGTTGCAGGGGAGGGGTGGTGCAGTTGGTTTAGAGGGCAGTGCGACGGGAGACTGGCCAACAGAGTTGGAGATCATCAGGGAGGCCCAGATGGCAGCATTTAGCCTTCTGGTCGTAGCAAAAACTTACTTTCCTGATGTCCATTGAGTGATCCTAGATCTGCTTCACCACCCTAAGACCACTCCTGTTGGTTCTGGATGGAGCTGAGGGATTGGCCATTTGCCTATGCCAGGTGGCTCCATAAGGCGGTGGCCAGGTGCCTGCAGACTGGCCCAATGAAGGGGAAAGGCTGCTGAATATGCTAACATTGGAGAAGTTCACGAGGTGGCTCACAGTGGAAAAAGTGGAACGGGGTCCATTTTCATGTGATACTGGCTGAGGATCACCTGGCGCCGCAGGAGCTGGTAGCAAGTTGGCTTGTCCGGGCCCGGAGAAGGAAACCCCGCGAGGTCCCACTGTAGCCAGCAGCTGTAGTGCACTGGCTGCCAACATTTAATGGCACCAACATTTAATGGCACCAACATGTAATGACGCTTCTCCCTGTGTGGGTTCTCTTGCGTCCCTCAACGAGAGCAGCACATTTGTTGGGGCAAGAGTGCTGGAGTTGCGGCTGGGACATGTCCACTGGGAGTGCCCGCTTGATGGAGATGGGGCGAGTGTTCCATGTCACTGGCCCTCCAGCGACTTCCTCTGGTCCAGGAGTATACAGTACTCTAGTAAGGTGCCAAGTGGGTACAGACCGGGCTATGGTGGACTCGGGCTCCACGCAGGCACACCCAGTTGATGGTGCAGAAAAGCCATTAAGAAATATCTTACGGGCAGCTCATTATAACCCAATTACTGGCCACATGCAATAAAAAAGGGAACAAATCATGGCCTGTTTTTTTTTTTTTTTTGGCATTTGAAGGGATGTGCTCCTGTGGTGTGCATCCAGCCCAGGATGTTGTACTCATTACCACTAATGGAGGGTCCATTTAAGTGCACTGGCATGGATCTCATCTGGCCATTTCACCATAGTGCATGAGGGTATCACTTTGTATTACTTTTGGTGGATTATGCAACAGATATTCTGAAGTAGTGGCATCCTGGAAGAGACACTGATTGACCAGGGCTTCATGTCTTGTACACTAAAAGAACTGTTTAATTACTGTCCATCAAATATGTTTGGCCAAACATTCATCACCCTCAGAATGACGGGTTGGTAGAGCGGTTGAACTAGACTGGAAAGTCTATAATTTTTAAGTGTATTCATTAGGATGAGCAAAATAGAGATTGCAGGCTAGACTCTCATTTTTTTAGGGACTAGTAAAGCGCTATACAAATACAGGCCATTCACCTGTACAATTGGGGAGCAGTGTTGGGGAGTAACGGAATACATGTACCGCCGTTACGTATTTAAAATACAAAATATGAGTAACTGTATTCCGTTACAGTTACCGTTTAAAAAGGTGGTATTCAGAATACAGTTACTTTGTTGAAATAAATGGATTACACTGCGGTACTTTCCTGTTTCATATTGTCGCGGGTCAGGACTGTTTGGTTTTGTTTGACAGCTACGTTCTTTTGTTCCAGGCGGCAGCGTTACGGTTGCCATGGTTACAGGGCGACGCTCTCTCTCTCT